GAAATTTACTCTTAAGATAAGAAGGCGAAAACAGGTCATATAATATGGAAAAAGAACAATTAATATTTTGGAAATACGCTTCTGCTGGATTAAAAGCCAATTAAACTTAGATATTGCGAAATATGGTCATACTTATGAAGCCCGAAAATAAATCTTATACAGTATTGAGAAAGCGTTTCAGCCATTCAGAAGATCCTGGGACAGATCCGGGTAACAAATATCTGCATAATCAATTATGGGTAATATGTGCAATTGAATAAGCATGATTTTAGACTTTTTGGGGAGAAAATGTTTTAAACGATACAGAGAACGTTTTCTATTAGTATTCGTAAGTTCTTAAAGTAGTTGTAAATTAAAGTTATTGCCATTATACGTCATACCGGCAGTCAGACAGAATCCTGCAGTCATTTCTGAGTTATGGAGCATTTATTTCACCGTGCTCCTCCAGTACGTGTTGGCTGACTTCTTATTTTTTTTCATATATAAAATGTAGAGATGTCTATAGGCCACTTCACTTACCATCAGGTGAACTATGTGCTCGTTTGTCATTCTAATTTTATAAATATATATAGCAGAGGTGAGTCGTCCAGGTTATTTATACAAATTATCTTTATTAACTTATTTTGCTATTTGGTGACGATGTCGTGTCAAAATATATAAGTCTACGACTTATGTTAATTTAATTTATTATTTTATTTTGATAATTTGTTTTTTGAAAAACATCTCAAGATCTTAGAATTTGCTTATGCCAGCCCTATACTCTATTCCAATTACGAAGTTCCTTTTGACACTTTTTAAAACGTAACTCTTCACGTTTCGCATAATTTGAAATAATAATCATTTTTGTTCATGGTCGTAAATCATCATTTAAAAATACACAATCAATCTAAATCATTATACAATTAATTCACATACACACAATCAACATATTGTTTTTAGACATCGTGCTAAAAATAAATAAAACTTTAAAAGATTATAATATTTTACTGCCGTTTTGCGTTTACGTTCTATAGTTTTATTTTTACTTTTTTACATAGCAAAGTGACTAAAAGAATCGTATAGAATCGATTGTAGACAGATTCTTTTCGTGAATGAAAATCTGTCAACACAGCATCCACCTCGTGATCACGACGGCCATTTTGTTTGTCTCTTCAGTACGAGTGCATAAGCCTTGTATACTATACTCGTGTTCAGTTTAGTTGATTTTGTGTTGTGTTTTTTATTTTGTTCTTGTTATTGTAGTTTTAACTGTTTGATAATTCTTTCGTTGTTATTAAGTTTTGACTGATATTTGATTTGGTTTTTTTTTGTATTTATAAACACTATGGCCGAAACTGAGACCACTAAAAGAACAGTGATGCGCAGTCAAGCGCGAGAGTTTGTAGTACGCCTACAAGATTACTTTGAAAGAGAGTATCAGAAAGGTGGTCCATTGTTGTCACTTTCACAAGTGACTAACCGAATAAGTGCAGCTCTTGGTATTAGTCGAAAAACTGTTTCCCGAATAAGTAAGGAAAAACATGGTAAAGATTTAATGGAACATAACAAATTAAAATCGCCACTTTAGAAAAAAGTTAGAAGATCGATAGTTACACATATCGACAATTTTGATAACGACGCCATTAGAAACCATATCTATGGCTACTATCATCATTCATCATTTTTCATCATCATTACAGCCCTTCACAAGTCCACTGCTGAACATAGGCCTCCCCCAAAGAATGCCACAAAACACGGTCCTGAGCCACCTGCATCCATCGACTTCCTGCATGTCTTACCAGGTCGTCACTCCATCTCGTGGGGGGACGCCCTACACTTCGCCTACCGGTACGAGGCTGCCACTCGAGAACCTTTCTTCCCCATCGGTTGTCGGTTCTTCGAGCTATATGGCCGGCCCACTGCCACTTCAGCTTACTAATCCGTTGGGCTATGTCGGTCACTCTGGTTCTACTGCGGATATCCTCATTCCTAAGTTTATCACGCAGAGAAACTCCGAGCATAGCCCTCTCCATAGCTCGCTGAGCGACCTTGAGCTTCCTCATACGGCCAGCAGTGAAGGACCACGTTTCAGTTCCATAAGTCATCACTGGCAACACGCACTGGTTGTACAATTTCGTTTTCAGGTTTTGAGGTATGTCTGACGAGAAGATGTGTCGTAGCTTCCCGAACGCTGCCCAGCCGAGTTGAATCCGTCGATTGACCTCTCGGTCGAAGTTGGACTTACCCAGTCGGACTATTTGTCCCAGGTAAACATACTCGTCAACAACTTCGAGCTTAGTGCTCCCAACAACTACCGGCATAGGTGTGACATGGACATTAAACATGATCTTTGTTTTGTCCATGTTCATCTTAAGACCTATCCGTTGGGAAACACTATTGAGGTCATTGAGCATAGTGCTTAGGTCCTCCAGCGATTCTGCCATAAGGACTATATCGTCGGCAAATCGAAGGTGAGTGATGTACTCGCCATTGATGTTGATACCGTATCCTTTCCAGTCCAGAAGCTTGAAAACGTCTTCCAATGCAGCGGTGAAGAGTTTCGGGGATATGACGTCACCCTGTCTTACACCTCTCTGCAATTGGATAGGTTTCGTACTCTGGTTCTGTACTCGGATAGCCATCGTAGCCCTACTGTACAAGCACTTCAACACTTCGATATACCGACAGTCAACTTGGCACCGCTGAAGGGACTGCAGCACCGCCCAAATTTCGACGGAGTCAAAGGCTTTCTCATAGTCCACATACGCCAGACATAGTGGCAAATTGTACTCTTCAGACTTCTGTACAACTTGCCGAAGGGTATGTATGTGGTCTATGGTGCTAAAGCCCTTTCGGAAACCGGCTTGTTCGGGAGGCTGGAAGTCGTCAAGTCTGCGCGCGAGACGATTCGTAATGACTCTCGAAAACAGCACGTAGACGCGGCTCAGAAGGGAAATCGGTCTGTAGTTCTTCAAGAGAGCGTTGTCACCTTTCTTGAAGAACAAGACCACCGCACTTCTGCTCCACGTCTCCGGTGTAATGCCACCATGGAGGACGGAATTAAAGAGCTTCTGAAGGACTTCAAGTACCGGTCTTCCACCCGCTTTCAGAAGCTCCGCTGTAATTCCATCCTCGCCTGGGGCCTTACCGTTTTTAAGGTGCTAGAGAGCCATCCTAATCTCGCTCAGACTGACATCCGGGATATCTTCGGAATAGTGTCGGATGAGACTCGCTCTTGGATCGTTACTCACACTTGCGTGTGGCTCCAACGATGATGTGTACAGCTGCCCATAGAACCTCTCAATCTCACTCAAAATCTCAGGTGTCCCGGAAACGATGCTGCCACACTCTGTCTTCAGCTTTGACAGTTGGCTCTTTCTGGCAGACAGATCTCTGGCAAAGACTTTGGAGCCTTGGTTCCGCTCGATCGCTTCTTCAATACGAGCTGTATTGAAGTTGCGTAAGTCCCGCCGCATGCATTTGGAGATCTGTCTGTTCAGATGCCTGTATGCTGTCAAGTCTGTTGAAGAGTGTAGCTTCATCTCCCGTCTAACAGCCATGAGATTAAGAGTGTGATCGGAGAGTTTTTGTGTTCTTCTGCGGCGGGTCTTGCAGAACTTAGCTCCGACCGCATGGACAGTTTCCACGAGCTTGTCATTCATATCGTCCACTTCATTGCAGTCTTCCAGGCACTGAAAACGGTTTTGTAACTCGAGCTGAAAGGTTTCGGGACTTTGGAACAGAGCCCGAGGGGGACGGAGCGTTGACTTCATTAGACGAGACCTCTCCAACTTAACGTTTAGGTTCAGTGTGCCTCTAACCATTCGGTGATTGCTACCAGTTTTCACCCTCGCGATCACGGAGACATCACTGAACAGTTGTCGTCTGGTCGTCATAATGAAGTTAATCTCATTTTTTGTGGAACCGTCGGGGCTCGACCAGGTCCACTTCCTGTGGGGCCGCTTCTGGAAGAAAGAGTTCATCATAAAGAGTCCCTCTTTCTCCATGAAGTCGGCCAGCTGCTGGCCCCTTGGGTTCCGTTGCCCTATTCCAAATTTCCCTTCTTTCAGCTCACCGTTCTCTCTTGTGCCTAGTTTTGCATTGAAGTCTCCCATTAACACCGTATATTGGGTTTTGGAGGAATGCATGGCTCTAGAGATATCCTCATACATTTTCTCCACCTCCTCATCGGGGTGTGCCGAGGTTGGTGCGTAAACCTGTATGACCTTCAGCGAATACCGTTTGGTGATTCTGAGTATAAGGTACGCAACCCTCGTCGACACACTCCCGATCTTTACAACGTTGTTAACGAGAGACTTGTGGACGATAAATCCGACACCTCCTTGGGACAGATGGTCGCCCTCCCGGTGATAGAGCAAGTTGCCGGATTCGAGGATTACCGTGTCCTCCCCCTCTCTTCGGACTTCGGATAATCCTATAATATGCCAGCGCAACTTGTCTATCTCTTCTTCCAGCTCCACGATCTTCTCGTCAGTCCTCAGGGTGCGTGCGTTGTACGTTGCCAGGTCGAGTCGTCTAAGGTGGCAACCGAACCTCCACCGGAGATTCTTAGCACCCCCTGCCCCGCCGTTACCATGGTCGCCACCGTAGCCAGGAATAGCGGGGCCGCCGGGGACTGGGGGCCGTTTTTTTGTTACTGTCATTCATAGGGGGGGGGGGGTATTTGCCATAGTTGCCACGCTTGGCGAGCGGGTTGGCAACCGCAGTTTTTTTATTGTAATTTGGCTATTATCAGGAAGATGCTGCTGCCCATCTCCTGCCTGTTTCCCTTTGTCGCCTTTTACCACACCCACGGGAGGATATGGGGTAGTGGATATTCTTGACCGCCACTACACGGCGCCACTACACGGCTACTATAGTAGGAACGAATTGCCGACTCTCGATAAATTGTGAAATACTTTACGAGAATCTGGACTGTTTCACGACAGTAGAACTTCTTTCTGGAGGGTTTTCAAAAATGTTGGCTTTTCTTATAAAAATGTGATAAAAGGCGGATTTTGATGGAACGTAGAGATATAGCTTTAACCAAATTTAATTTTCTAAGACAAGCAAAATTCAATTCCCTTTTTAATTTTGTTATATTTCTAGATGAGACGTGGCTAAACGCTAATCATACAGTTGGCAAGATATGGACAGACGACACTCCTCACTCCTCCACAAAAGTACCTAGTGGCAAAGGCAAACGCTTAATTATTTGTCATGCGGGTTCCATGAAGGGATTTGTTCCGAACTGCCTCTTGGCATTAAAATCTAAGAAAACTGTGGATTACCGCGAAAAGATGAATTTTGTTAAATTTAAGGAATGGTTTTGTACCTTATTGACCAACTTGAATGAGCCATCGACAATCATTATGGATAATGCACCGTATCATCCAGTACAAATAAGTAAGCCTCCAACTTCTAGCAGCAAAAAAGCCGATATTGTGAAATGGCTGAATGACAATAATATTATTGCTGACATGTCCATCTTAAAAGTTGAGCTGCTGCATTTGGTTGCTATAAATAAGCCAGCTAGACCAAAATACGTATTGGACGAAATGGCTAAGGAAGCCGGACACAATTTAGTGCGCCTTCCACCCTACCATTGTCAATACAATGCCATAGAATTGATTTGGGCGCAAATTAAAGGCAAGAATTTAAACAAATCTTTTTATAATTTATTTTTACCTATTTTAACATTTTATCTGTTGCTATATTAACACGCAATCCTTTGTTTTAGGTTATGCGGCTCGTAAAAATACCAGCCCACCGTTTACTGCAAATAAAATGCAGTCATTGTTACAAGAAGCTTGTGATAGTGTTACTGCCGCGAATTGGTAAAGTGTAGTTTTACAAAAAAAAATGTTTGATTTTCGCTGATTAGGACAGAGACATACATATCGATGCCGTCATAGATAACCAAATTATAATAAATACAGGGGATTCTACAGACGATGATGAGGGTGAAGACGACGATGCCGATCATGAAATATCGATTTCAGCTAGTGATGATGAATATGTTCCATCTTGATAAAAATATCATGTAATATTATCTAGTTAAAATTAATAAACAGTTTTATAAATTTTTATTTGATGCTAATCCTTTTTCTGTCAATACGATTTCAATTTGTTCGTTATAGTAATCGAAGATCAATATCATCAAGTATCGACTATACGTCAATAATCAGGTACTTTACTAGTACTTGATTATTGACATCTGTCAAATAGGACTTCGTAATTGGAATAGAGTATAGTGGGGCATAGTGGACGAGGTTATTGTAACAGTATAACTTTTCCGGCCAAGAAATGATTAGTTGGTAAAAGTAGACGAAAACAATATTAAAGCGTCCACTTTGTCCCACCAGTGACATTTGACAGTAGGAAAAAGTGAAATAAACCGATTTTTCTTTACCTTTATACCTTCGTATCCTTGTATTGATTTTTCTTATTAAATGTAAATAGGCTTTCGGAATTTAATAAAAAACATTGTTTGCATAAAACATACAGTTTTTGTTTATTGCTAAAAGCGGCGCTGTTGGCGTCAGGTGGGTCTAAACAAAATGCAAATCGAGTTATGTTCTTAATATTTCGTTTTCTTAATGCTTTCAAAATTACGAGATAATATTTTTTTGTTGACTGACTGGTGATTACATTTTAAGTGTTAGTATTTAAAGATAAGAAACGATTAATTGAATATTTTTAAGCATATTTTGTTAATAAAATTGATAATAAATGTCTCATTAGTTACATCTATTTTATATCGTAGTAGTTAATACTCTGAAAATAAAGAGGATATATTATACTATATCGTTGTAGTTAACATGTAAATTTACTGTTTGGTTATCCCATTTTATTGTAATGGTTTGATAGCCATATACTATGCTAGGGACAATGCGATATTATGTGGGCAATAGCGGCAAAATATATCATACTTGTAAACAGGTGCAAATTCTTGTGTTTGCTGGTCTGTGCGGGATTGCATTGCATATTACTCCGAGCTTTGAAAAATATTGCACATTCTTTTTGTATAATATTTATATGCAAAATTTATTACTTTGGAACTCTTACGGTTACATAGATGTTTGTATGAAATACAGTTACCTTTCATTTATGATTATGATTATTCAATTATGATTTTTTTCGTATATTCGATTCTACTGCTAACAACACAGCGTGAATTTTTACATAAATGAAGATCACAGAGCAACACAAGCCACCGGCGGCGGTCCGGAGCGCCGGCGGTCCGTGTTGCTCTATGATTGAGATGGAATGAGTTTAGAAACGTATAATTATTTCATTGTTGTAAATATAAATACGTTACAGAAGTAGAAATAGAAACTTTTTTATTCTTGAAAATGACTCTTTTGTTTAATTTACCGCTGATTTAGACAGAAAAAAAATTTGTCCTGGAAAGAACCAGCAAGGAACCCACCGGGACTTTAAAAAAAATAAACGGCTTACAATCCATACATGTTTCATAATTAAAAGCACAAAACAAATTAGAAATAGCTTGGCAGCGATCACCTCATTTACAAGTGTTACTATCATCCATGAATTCCTTAATATTATAATAACGCTTTTTATACCAACTTAGTTTAATAAAGTTTTTGAACTTTAAGCAGGTCAAACTACTGACTCGGTGGAGTCGAGTAACTGGTACCACCAGCTTGTGTCTGTTCCTATTACTTACACAACACAACTGGCAGACTCTCTTGAAACTCAAAATTATCGTTCATTATCTATGTGACTTACTTTGGTCAGAGAACTTTTTTTTTATATGATAGGTTGACAAACGAGCACAGTTCACCTGATGGTAAATGAATGCTGTGACCCATAGACGTCTACATCTATCCTCGGTTAAGAATCAATTTTTAATAATTTAACGGTGGTAGAGCCACGCAGCAGTTTTTGCTGTTGCACTTATGGGCCGGCTCGAGCCGGGTTGGTACCACGACCTCACAGAATACCGGCGTGAAGTAGAAGTTCTGCTTCTGCGTTTCGTCTGGTGAGTGCTGGGGGCGGGGGGGGGGGAATTCCGCTCAAAAACATAACTGCTCGGGGCAAACTGAACAACAATACCACGGCGACCCCTGCCACGCTATCCGTGAAGTTCTGCAACATCAGGGGACTTCACTCTAACCTAAACGGCGTCCACTACCATCTCGAGACGGCGAAGCCGGCCTTGCTCTTTCTGACCGAGACGCGGGTTTCCTCTCCGGCTGATATTTCGTATCTCTCCTACCCGGGGTACAAATTGGAGCACTCCTTTGTGCCTCGGGCTGGAGTTTGCATGTATGTCGGAGACGACATCTGTTCTCGACGCCTCGGCAGTCTTGAAGGTTCGGAACTGTCCATCCTTTGGCTATTCGTAGACAGCGACAACCATCCGCGCGTCTACGGGTGCCTCTATAGGTCCCATAGCGGTAATGCCGAAACAGACCGACTCATCGACCACGTCCAAATAGCTACAGATTCCTTGCTACAACAGGTCCCATCCGCAGAGATCGTGATCCTTGGCGATTTTAACGCCCACCATGCCGAATGGCTCGGTTCACGTTTAACCGATCATGCGGGGAGATCTGTTTATGACTTTGCCTTGGCATATGGTCTGATACAGCTGGTTACTTTGCCTACGCGGATTCCAGATGTGGAGGATCATACACCTTCCCTGTTGGACCTTCTGCTGACCTCTCATCCGGACGGATATCAGGTCTCCGTCGATGCCCCTCTGGGCTCTTCGGACCATTGTTTGATCCGGAGCACGGTGCCACTCACGCTCCAATCACCATTGAGATCTGCAGCTTGCCGCCGTGTTTGGCACTATAGGTCAGCTGATTGGGACGGGATGCGGTCCTTTTTTGCATCCTACCCTTGGGGGCGGGTTTGCTTCTCACCGGATGATCCCAGCGCTGTTGCTGACTCTGTCACTGATGTGGTGCTGCAGGGAATGGAACTTTTTATTCCATCATCTAAGGTACCCATCGGAGGCAGATCTCAGCCTTGGTTTGGTCGCTCCTGTGAGACTGCATTACGCAGTAAGCAGGAGTGTTATCAAGCCTAGGCTGCGGCTTCAGTGACTCGGGATGTAAACACCAGCACACTTAAAAAGAAGTATAACTTCGCCTCCAGGTCCTTCAAAAGAGTTATTGCCGAGGCAAAGTCAGAGCACATAGACAGAATTGGCGAGAAACTAGTTCGCCTTCCTTCGGGAACCCGTGCATTCTGGTCTCTCGCCAAGGCTGCCCAAGGCAATTTCTGAAAGCCATCACTACCATCTCTGCACAGGAAGGACGACTCACTGGCCCAAGACGCAAAAGACAAAGCCGACCTTTTAGGCTCCCTCTTTGCATCCAACTCGACACTTGATGACGGGGGGAAAACACCGCCGACCATCTCGCGGTGTGAGTGCTCCATGCTGGATGTGCTGTTCTCACAGCGCTCGGTTCGCAAAGCACTTCTCTCCCTGGACATCCAGAAGTCGAGTGGGCCTGACGGAATCCCCCAATTGTGCTGAGGACGTGTGCTCCGGAGTTGGCACTGGTCCTAACGCGTCTTTTCCGGTACTCCTACTCCCAAGGCGTAGTCCCGAACTCATGGAAGACAGCTTTTGTCCACCCAATCCCTAAAAAAGGCGACCGCTCAGACCCGTCCAACTATAGGCCTATCGCGATCACCTCCTTGTTCTCCAAAATAATGGAATCCATTATTAACTGCCAGCTCATGCGGTACCTTGAGGATCACCAGCTGATTAGTGACCGCCAATACGGTTTTCGTCGGGGTCGATCAGCTGGTGATCTTCTGGTCTACCTGACACCAAAAACGTTTATTTGCCGGAATTCCGTAATAGACGTCCCGCTTTGACAAAAATAATAACAATATATTACAATATATTTCTCAGGAAAACGTCATCGAGTACCGGAACAAACTTGTGTCTGAAGTCGTGACTTTGTTGAACGAAGTCTCAGATTGAGAGCCACTAAATTTAGTCCCATTCAATCCTTAGAAGTCAAGAAAAAGAACCCCTTTATCTTGTCTACTCAGTTTCAGGATACTCTCTTGTTGCCTTAGGGAGTATCGGAATCATCGGCGTCGACATAGCAAGTGACGTGTACTTTCGTGGTCACTTAGAAAAGATGGCCAAATCGGCCTCTATAAACCTTTGCGTGCTCAGCAGAGCGGGACATTATTTCATGCCGGCACACCGCCTGCAACTTTACTAGGTGCAGGTTCGACCTCATATGGAATACTGTTTCCATCTCTGGCCTGAGGTTCCCCAGTGCCAGCTTCTTCTCCTCCTCCGAATCGTCGGCGACTGAGCCCCTTCTAATCGGCTTGAATAACTGGCACTGCGAAGGATGTTGAATCTCTTTGCGTATTTTATCCCATCTACCACGAGGAGTGCTCTGAGGAATTGTCCGGAATAATTTCAGACGCTCAATTTCTTCCTCGTACAACATCTTTGTAGAATCGACTACAACCCACTGGTTGTAGTCGGTCCGTAAAAATCACTATTTTTACGGACCGACACGACTTAGGGACCTGAAGGTCAACAAAGAGTAGGCTCTTTTCTTGAAAGAAAAGAGCATATGCAATTTCCATGGTGTTGCTGTTGTTCATAGGTGGTGGTAGTCACTTACCATCATGCTCGTTTGCCCCCTCTCCTATAAAAACATACAAAGATACATGCATACATATATACATAAAGACATATATACATAAT